TTATGATTAAGTAGACCACTGAAATTTGTTTACAAAAAAATCTGATTTGTAGTATTTCTTGGTGAAAGAGTATACTTGTATATGTGTGTGTGAATCCACAGGTCTAAATGTGGGTAGTAAATATAAATTGTTTGAAAGACAAACAGAAGTGAAGCAGTTATTGGCATTTAATTTGACAGCCTGGTCAGAAGGAAAGTGAGCTTTAAACTTTCCTATTATCAATAATAAGACCAGTCTAAAGGGAGAGACAATGATGTAGAGCAGCGTTATTTGTTATATACCATTAGTCTAAAATACATTCGATATATTTTCACTCTTATAATTTCTCATAAAGGTAAGGAAATAGTGTGATAAATTCTACTGTTTTGTACAAGAACTTGTACATAAAGTAGAAGTGATGTTAACCTTGAGAGAAAATAATGTTTTTATATTAGAATTTTAAATAGTTACATAAATGCATAGGCAAGTATGATCACCATATAATTTCAGTCAGTAGATTTCAGAGTTCAGAGAAATATGGGTATAATTCCATGTTCAGGGACTCTTAAGATGAATACAGTTAAAAAATGATGGAGGGTTAAAAAAGGAATTTTGACTTATAATTTTAAAAAGCTGTAGTGAGAAAGGCAGGAGATGTGGGACACCACCAGTGTGCAGCTCCATGTGTTATCCATGCCTGGAAATCATATAAACACAAGGGGTGGTGTAAGGAGTTTATAACCAAGAATGAGTTCAAATACATAACGCATTTCTGACAGCAATGCCAAAACTAGTATGAAAAATTATAATCTTCACAGGAAACCAATTTTTAAAAGATCCCTGGGGAGCAAAATTTAGGGCAAGTTATGGCAAGAAGAGGAATAGGTTCACTACCTTTGGTAAAATGTATTATGAACAAAAAATTTTTTTTACTCAATTCCTCTGTTGCTTTGCTGTGCTTAAGGAACAAGTTATTTCTATAAAAGAAATTACAGTTCATATATAAACTATAATTAAGAACTAATTAAAGAGGGTCATTCCTATGGGGAGAGGGCTAGAAATCATGAAGAATGATAGAATTGAGTATGCTTAAATTAGAAAAGGTCAAATTTAAGGATACCATTATAGTTGTTTTCAGTATTTGAAGATCAGGCATGTAAAGATGTAGTCTGTTTATAGTAAGCTATATAATATAGTAGACTGCCAAGGAGGCAGACTCTGATTGTATAAAGGGCAGTGATTTATTAATGTTGGAAAGGATTTTTAACTAAGCAAGTAAGGTCTCCTTCAGCAGAAGTCTTTCAGCAGACTCGTCAACAGGCAGAAAAGGATTTCTTCCATGGAAGGCAAGATGCCTATTAAGATCTCTTTCATTTCTCCTACTGGAGAATATTGTGAGGTTAGATCATATCATAGTGACAAGTCAGTGTGGGAAACAGAACTAAAGATAATGGTTTAATTAGCTAGACTCAAATGTCAGACACATGAAACTGAATGAGGGTCTGGATAATCAATTTTATACTGAGTAATTTTCTATACTGAGCAATTTCCTGAACTGAGTAGTAGAAAGACAGACATAAGGGAAAGACCAGCAGTGAGCAGAAGTCCATGTAACTTCAAGAACTCTCGTTGAATTGAGAAATTCAAGGGCAGATTCCTGCCTTCCTTCGTTGAGTGGAAGAAGCAATAATGTTAATGCTGTTCAGGAATGAAGTATGAAATGGACTGAAATATTTTACTTGGTTTGGAGACTGAGGCAAGAATTGGTGACTTGCCTTCTGACATTCTCCAAGACAGATGGATTCAATGAAAGTTACAATAAAATCAAGAAATAAACTTAGAGCTTATCAAATAAATATAACATACACTTTTCACAAGCCAATTTATGCTATACTCATGCCTAAAGAACTCAGTTTTATCATATGTATTGTAATAACTAACATTTAGTGGGTATGTGTGCATATTTTGTGTGTATTAAACTATTTAGATGCATCATCTCTCATAATTGTATCTTTTATTAACTCCATGGAATAGAAACAATTACCATCATAATTTTACAAACAAGGAAACTTTGACTTAAAGAGATCAAGTAATTTATCTAAGAGCAATGCCCCAGAGTAGTATAAACAGGATTTATGTCTCAGTTTGTCTGATACTACAGCCTTCGTCTTTAACCTGTAGTAGATAATAGTGTTGTATTACTGATCTTGGAAATCAAACAACTCTGAATTGTAGCCCTGGGAAACAAAGAAATGGAAACCTACTCAAGACGGCCTGTGTGCCTTTTAGGAGGTTGGCAGTCAAATGTGGCACCAAACTCTGGATCCAATCAAATGTTTGGTACTGTCCAACCTTCCATATGGTTGGGAGGTCTGGATCTGTCACAGATGTCGCAGGCAGCTTCCTGCATCACCTGCAAGACATATGTGCCATAAATGGGAGAGCAGGATTACTAAAAGTGTGCCCCCAGCTGGGCCTATAACTGAAGGGAAGATCCTCACAGCAGCAAGCATGGGAACTGGGCAAACCTGGGGGATGTTTCACTTTAAGGCCCTGAGTCAGCTGCTCAACAGTGAGCCGAAATGGGGGCATTGTGAGTAGGAGTAGGCAGGGCTGGCAAAAGAAAGGCTCCAAGGACACATTGAATCACAACTTCTAACAATGTGGCATGGCTGTGCAAACAACATCAGACAGGCCAAACTTACATGCAAAAAATCAAAGACTGAGTGACTCTTTTTGGGCAAATGTGTCTGGCAGCCTACAAGGAGGAAAGGCAGGGCTGCAAGTACAATATGCTCTACAGACAGAGGAGAGAGTCCCAGCCCAAAGACAGCTTCCATGTGTATGAAGTGTGGAAAATCTGAGACATGCAATGGGCTCTTCAGCCACATTCTCACCCTTGGAAAGCAATCAGCCAGCAGAAAAATCTCCAATTTAAATGACAGCAAAATGTATGCTTGGAGTTATCTGACCAAATTAGCAACTGAGATATTCTAGGGACTTAATTTGCACATTGAGTTTTAATAGTATTATATTTGTATAGCAGATTATATAACCAAAAATGTTAATGGGAAAATGATTTTATTTGACTGGGAAATTGGCACCCCGACTAATTGTCTGAAAAGGAGCCAATTTTAAAATTCAGATGCTATTTGAATGAACTGGTATTGGCTGAATTAGGATTTATTGTGTAAAATATGCAGTTTTTAAAAATAGCCTAAGGAAAGAAAAAAGGACTCAATGAATGAAGTTTGTGTACTTCACTATGTTCTGGGATAGGTTTTGCAATGGTACAAACAAGATGATCATAAAGAATCTCAGGGTTAGAGTAGGGGTGGAGGAAGATGAATAAATGACCTGAAATGAACATGTGATATGAATGTGTATGTGGTCAGAGTAAATAGGATGGCTTGTCATCTGTTTGCAATTTAGCCAGATAGCAACTCTTTACTAAAATATTTGATTACCTTTTTATAAATAACTTGGAGTTTCATGTGCCTATTTCATGTAGATAGGATAAAGTGCCACACATATTTAGAAATGACCATGTTTTTGGTATGCTATTTGTAGTGCTTAGCACATTAAGAAAATTGTAAGCTTACAATTAATGCTGGCAATAATTTTTCTTATTATAAAATGTATTAGCTGCAATTGGATAAGACTAAATAAGAAATTAGATTGTGAGACAATTATATTTATAGTAGAAAGTTTTGTAAGTAATAGACTTTATTCTGTTGAAAAATATTTTTTCTTAGTCAATTGAAATGGCCTTATTGTTCTGGCTACCACCTCCTACTCCTGAAGAAACTCAGATCTTCTAAATAACAGGTGAAATTGCACTTTTCATTTATTATTGCCTTCAGGATATCGAAAGCACAGGATTTCCTTAGAAAGACAGGCCTTTTCCTCTCCACCCCACCCCCTACCAGCCCTACACTTTAAGACAACATCTTCAAGTTGCCATAGACCAACTGTGAGTGTTAAATGAATATCTTTGACAGGAGCTAAGTCTTTTGGGCATTGAAATAAGGTTTTCCTCCTCTCTTGGCATGTGAAGATTGAGAGTGTGCTTTGACACCAGTAGCAGAGGATGTGAGCAAAGCAACTTTCAGAGCATCAGAAGTGTCAGCAAAAGGAAAAATCAGCACAAGTAGAAAGCATCAAGGTAATTTTCCCACCTATAGTATTCCATGAAGTCAGTCAGCTCATTGCCACTTTTGTCTGATGGAACCTCCTTCTCTATTGTTAAATGCCACATAAACTATCTGTCAGCCTCTAGGGCAGTTCACTTCTCTTACACAGAAAGAAACACAAAGGTACAAACAAAAGCAGCAACATATTGAGCTAAAATAAAAGTTAAAAATAGTATTTTCTACTTCATTCATAAATATATATATTGGGCAAATTTCCCCTGAATATCATATAGCCAGAATACCTACTATGTTTGATTCAATTTCTTCAAGATTTGAAGCAATCTATTCCTATGTAGAGAAGGGTTTTCTCCTATTTATCTGATGTTTTTATTTTAGATTCGGAACCAAAAAGTATGATTATATTTCTGCATTTTGAATGTATTAAACATTTCATTGCTGATGCTAAAGTTTCTTAAACATATTAATATATAAGCATACCTATCATAAGTTGAAAGCTGCTAAATGTTTTCCAATTGTACACATCCATGTATCTAGTACCTAGATTAAGGAACAGAAAATTACTCATGCTAAGTTTTTCAATAGTTACATTTTCCAAATGCTTTCATTTCTGTGCCTTTTCAATTTTTGTGAAAAAAAAATGTTACTACATTAGAGTGGCAACACCTGCATTCAAACATCTATTTCCTCAATGTATTCCCCAATAGCATCATCAAATAATTTTTATTAATGTTTAATTCATTGCACATAGCAACCTGTATAACTATAGGAAAGGACATAAATTAGCATTACAGAGTATGAACATTTGCTACATGGCAAAACTGTTCCTTTTGGCAAACATTTTGCATTTTTAAAGCCACAGCACCCTGCTGAACAGAACTCCAAACAGAGGAGTAGCAAAATGGGAGGAAGGTGCTGTGACTAAATGAAGGAAGGCTGAGGGGTTAAAATCATTGCTGGGTGATTTCACCACTACTGCCCCATATTCATACTCTCGGTAAATGAATGAGGAGAGCCCCATGTGGGATTACAAACTTGCTGGAAATGGATGAGAAACCTTCTGCTCTGCTGGAGTTTGTAAGTAGTTTCTAAGGGCTGATTTCTGCACAAGTGAAATTGATTGGATTGTTTTATTTTTCTTCTGGCAAGAAATGTTTTTCATCTCTGCATATCCCTCTCCCTGTTTTCTTGGGTTGGCTTGACGACAAAACCTTCTGCAAGACCCAGAAACAAGTCATCTCTTCTGTGAAGCCTTCTTGATTACACTGCCGTGGCCCCTGCCCCTTCTTGAATTGTGTGGCGTTGTCCTCCCTAATAACTTGTAAAATACCTTAGAGCTTCTTATAGTAAACTCTTTCAGTCTCTGCCACTCACTCATTCTCTAGGTTGTGAGCTTCTAGAGGACACAACTTGCGTCTTTTCAACTTTGTGTGTTGCTGTCCTGGTTGCTTTAATTCTAATCCCACTGACTCTAACTTAGATGTAAATAGAAACTCAGTTCCAGGTGTGAACGGTCATAGGCAGATGACTTACTTATGAGGGTGAGACCACCATGGGCCATCATCATCTGGAGTTCCCTCCTGTTAGCAGAGTTGTTTCTTCAGGCTGACCTACTAATTGTTTATCTGCAAACCACTGCTGAGCTGGGGATGAGTGACCACCTGCCCAGATTGTCTTGTTAAGCATTATAATGAAAGAAAAGAGACAGCATTTGCTATTAAAATATTTCCTTAAAAACTGGTGCTCTAGAAAAAATAATTGTCTAGCTCTTGCAAGGAAAGAGGAAAATAAAAGCCCATGCCCCATAATCAACAAACATTTAATTGACCAACACTTCCTTTTTGTTTACTTCCCTTTTTAAAAATCAGAAGCAGGTAACTAGCATAACATAAACAGTAAACTCTTCTAACCCTATTAATGTTATTGAAATAAAAGGAAAGGAAAGGAAAAAGCTGAAATCTATTGTTCTTCCTTGGAGTTTGGGGTGGCCTCCATCTTTTTCTCCCCTTTCTTGAAGACCATCAGATGTGCTTTTGACTTTCTTTCTATATCTTACCTTTTAAAGCTTTATTTTCTAGAGAATGGACATACACATGTGATAATCATGGTATTTCCTCTGAATAGTGTATTACAATTTTATTGGTAAATCATATATTTTTTACTGCTTGGAAATACTGTAAAAAATTCAATGCAATTGGAATATATTCAAATAAATATATATTGAGACATTGAAAGCATTGACTTATCAATACCAGAAGTGTTATATACAAGTCAGACTGCCTAGGTTTAATTCTGGCTTTGGTTAAAATGCAGTTGCTTTTTGGGCAAGTTATTTAACCTTTCATCTGAATAATTGGGATAATAAAATAGATTTCTTAAGTTGTGAGAATTAGATATGTCAGTATATTTAAAGCTCTTATAACAGTGTATGGAATGTGATAAATGTTCCATAAACATTTGCTATTATGTAGCAATAACAACTATTGTATATGGTATGCTGGTACTACTACTAAATAATGAAAACAAAAAGGACAAGAGATATCAAAATGAAACATTTGAGTGTAATGAGTAAGAATGGATATGCCTGTTACCAGCTAGCTCTTTCAAGTTCTTGAGTCATTTTAAACAAAAAAGATTTTCTTTATCCAACAATCATAAATATCGACTGTCAGAACAGAATTCCTATATTGTTATTTGTTACTCTCCTTTCATATAGCCAGCTATATATTTAATAGCTACTCTGATATTAAGTGTATTTTAAATGACTATTATGTAAGTGAACTATATGAAAGAGTTTTATTCAACCAATTTTTGTGCCTGTTAGTAAAATATTTTTATATAATAATTAATAAAATTCTTTTAGAAATAGGCTTTGTAACACAGTGATAGTATATTAACATAACCAAGATCATGTCACTTAAAAAAACAAAAACAAAAAAAACCTTAAATAAGGCTTAAGATCCTTGTTCTCAGAATGTTTGGGGAGCTTAAAAATAATTTTGGCAGCATTTGTGGCATGGTGGTTTTGGCTACCATGTTTTCCCCATTTTGTTGCCTGAAATGCCTTTCCTCAAAGTTTTCAGATTTGGCGATTTGCTTTCTGAATAGCGATATGAGGATTTTCCATCAGAAAGATCCAGTGTAATTCTTTTATCAGGGTGTGAGTTGCCAGTTACAAGAAGCAGATGCCTTTTTTGCATTGCACCACTTACAAAATGTAGTCATACAAAACAATTAAAAAAATCCTCAGATAAGCCTCAGATAAACCTTACAGAAAGATGAATAACACAGAGATTATAAGTTGGTTTACAATGCAAAGATATATAGCAAATAGCAAAGAAGCATCAATTCCTGGTATGGAAATAATGGCATTAAGCAAACTTACTTCTTTTCCTTTCACAGTGGACACATTGTAATTAAAATTATTTGAAATGGAAAACGAACTTAATCTTCTTTCTTAAAATGATGCCTATGATTTTTTCTATGAATATGAGTTTTCACCACCTTGAAAACTTTCACATTAAGAGCATTGGAAAGCAAATAAACAGTAATTATTATTGACCTTTTTATAATGGTCAGAATCTAGAAGTAATAAACTCTGTTTAAATCTTTATAGGAACTGAAGTAACTAAGTAGTATCATCCTAATTAGGATATTTTCGTTGTGTAGTTATATATGTTGATTCTGAAAAACATTTATTTTGCCAAAAGAAAGGAAAAGAATGGGAGAGATGCAGACAGACTGAATCAATAGAGCAACACATTTCCATAACTAATAATATTTCATAGATATATTGGCTTCTGATGGGAGCCCATAGAGATGCCTGAAAAGATGAAATCAAATTGGGCCAGTTTAAACCGGGGAGTGGGTATCACTGCAAGTGGGACTAGATCGTTATAGTTGATGACAAGTTACTGTTATTTTGACTGAGAATATCATTACGTAATATATTACTTAAATTATTGAGCCTTTTATTTAACTTACATCAGTTTCAAACTTGGAGGTAGTTATGCTTGCTTTTGGCCATTGCTAAAACTCTGACTGTTTCTCTGGGAACCACATTCTCTGTGCTTTTTCGCCTTCCCTGTTCTGCCTCCCCTTTTCTTGAAGTGTTTCTTTTGTTTGTCTCCATTACACCAGCATGCAGGGACACAGTGTTTCTGCACAGTGGGAGTTGGCAATCTCCGAAGAGCCTTTCCAGCATTGCTTTTTAGAATGAAATCATTACAATCTTCAATAGCTACTTGGATTAAAAAAAAAGAAAGAAAGAAACTAGCACATTATTATTCTCAAAACCATCTCAATGTAAAAAGAGGCTATTTGCTTGGTCCTCCTCAGCTCCCCCTTCCCCCATCCTCCTGCGATTCTTGCTCATCTTGCTCCTTTTCTCTCTGGATGTGTTTCCTTCACACCTAAGTTTCGTTTGCATGGTCCTGATTCACTAATTCTATTCAAACCAAAGTATACAAATGCATTTTTTTTCTGTTGGTTTTGAATATTTTTACACTGCTTATGCAAAGGAGTGTAGTCAGATCTATCTTGCATTCGTTGATATTTGAATTATTACCTTCGAGAATGTGAAATATTCTGGTACTGACCCAAAATGATTTTTCAAACCCAGGAGTTATTAGCATGTGTTTACTTGATGAGAAAGTTGCTTTCGTAATGACCTGCGACTAATTTTTAAGTAGGTAAGAATTCTTGTTAATCGCTACTCATATATCAAATACTCGTACCCTGTGCTTTTCTCTAGGTTCTGAGTGCCTGCTTTTCATCAGTAGTAACATTTGTTTTATACACATGCCCATGAGTGACCCTAGGTGCACAGTGGAAACTCGGGGCATGAGGAGCTGGTTACAATGCCTGTACCCTGTGAAAGGGATTAGTGTATGCCAACACATAATATTTCCAACAGAGGATTGTATAGTGTCATCATACAATTTATTTGTTCTCTTTGCTAAGCGTAACTATAAATAATGAAAGGAAATGGCATGAATAAGAGGAGAGTAATTTATGTACTTCATCAAACCAGGACAACACATTTATATCCTATATGCTATCCAGATGTATGCATATTCAATTGAAATCAAAATAATATGTTTTCATTTTTAACTAAATGTAAAAATGCACTAAAAAGAAACTATGACCAACATGTAATAATTTGTTATTGATGTTTCTTATTTTGATATTTTTTAAAACCCACGAAATAGGATGGAGCATACGTGGTCTTACTTGAAGCTACAGTGTTCCCTGGACATGCCATAGAGTTTTCCCAGAAGATGTCAGTAAAGCTACTCCATCCTTCCATCTCTAGTCATTGAGCTTCAAATAAAATAATCAGCAAAGAGCTAGTGATTTTTTGTTGTTGTTTTTACTCACACTATTTTTTATCTATAACATACTTTGATCTTTGCACCAGAATAGAAATAATTGGTGAAATGTATATGCTCTAAAGTCAAGTAAATTATTAGAATTAACTTTTACTTCTTAGCTTCATGCAGTTTTATTTTATAGGAACAAATACAAGTTCACCTATAACCAGGTTCATACACTATATCTCACCAATATTTTTCTTTTCAAAATTCTGTCTATAATTCCAGGAATAGTTAAATGACATTTTAAGCTTTTTTGTGTTATCTTAGACATATTTCTGTTTTCTCTTGAAATTTTATGGCCTACTATTTGTCCATTTTTCTTGGTGCATACTAAGCTTCCTCTTGCAGCATAAGCATTTGTGTAGCATCTCTCTCCTATTAGTTCTAAATTGACACGATGTGTCCTTTTTCATTTCGAGCTCATCCAAAATCCTTCCTCAGTACTTTGCACACTGATACTTGTTGAATATGTAACAGAAATAAGAAATGACTATGATTTAGTATATCTTCTGTGTGGCACTTAACTTTCTATGTGTATATATCCATTAGAAAAAACAGCAATCATGGTATTTATAATAAAAGACTGATATGGGCATAAATCAGCATTTATTATTTTCAGGTCCATAAAGACATATTTAAATTAATATGTAAGCATTACAGGTAAGTTCTATTATTAAAAGAAAAACAGTCATGAAAAATGTT